TTTAATTCCTTGAGTAACAGTGTAAATTTGGGTTACCAACTGTACTGTCACCCAAGAAATCTGTTTATCTTTCTTGATTAATACCTAATATGTATCAGGCAAGCACTATGCTATGTGCTGGGAATTCATAAAAGGCAGGCAAATAAGCAGTTACAGTGCAGCATTCCACTTTTAGTAGATTAGGGAAACTACTAGTCTTTGGGACTGAGGTCAGGTCAGGGAATGCTTCACAAGGAAGTGATAGCTTTTGCTAAGATGGGAAGCAATGGGCACAAGATATGGGTGGGGAATATGCAAAACTCCAGAGTTAACAGAAAGCCTTGCCTTTTAGGGCAGTTGAAAAGTTTGAGGGAAAGGGATTTGCTGAGAAAATAATAAAATGGTAGAGATAAAACTAAGATCCAGGCCTTTTGAAATTATCCTGAAGACTACGAAAAAGTTTAAAAGTTTTGAGGAATGACATGAGATTATAATTTTAGGAAGATCACTTACAATGGCAGCTTTCAGAGTCAATGCCACTCTAGGGTGGGGCTCAGAAATGTACTTTCTAAAATTTGCTTTAATTGAACCACACTTAACTTTTTGAGAACAGCTGAATTAGGATGGCTCTCTACTATGACTGAATTTTGCTCATCCAAACTATTTGGTGTTATGGTCAGTAAGAATCTTTTTTTCCTCATTTGGGCTAGATGTCAAGCTTGTCCTTCCTTCAAAACAAATAAATAATTAAATTGGGGGCTGGCTAAAGTGGGTTCTTTGATTCGTGACATTCAAATAAGCTACGGTTGTCCCAATTTAGCAGTGTATTTAACTTTCTTTTGAAAAAAATTTTTTCATCTCTGAGCTATTAGAGTATTTTGTGACAAAGTGAAAGCTAAGAACCACCTGGTTTAAAAAACTTTAAATGAAAATTGCCTAGAGAAGGGTAAGAAATACACACACATTAAATGTCCCTGATTGTATCTGGTGAAGTTTTGGAAGGTTATTAAGAAAATAAAGCATCTGCTCTGACTGGTGTGTCTCAGTAGATTGAGTGATGATGGCCTGCAGCCCAGAGTCGCAGGTTTAATTCCTGGTCAGGTCACATGCCTGGGTTGGGGTCCAGGTCCCCATTTGGGGGCATGTGAGAGGCAACTGATTGATGTATCCCCTCATGTGGTTGTTTTTCTCCCTCTCCTTTTCCCTCCCTTCCTTCCTCTTTCCCTACTATTAAATAAATAAAATCTTAAAAAAAGAAAACAAAGAAAGTCTCAGGGTTGAGATGCTGGAGCAGTGAGAATGTGGGCTGCTAGGAGAGGCAGAAGGTGGGGTATGCAAAGGAAGGAGAGAAACTTTCTTTCCTTTTTAAAAAAGATTTTATTTATTTTTAGACGGGAAGGGAGGGGGAGAAGGACAGGGAGAGAAACTTCAGTGTTTGGTTGGCTTTTCACAAGCCTCCCACTGGGGGATCTGGCCCACAACCCAGGCATGTGCAATGACTGGGAACCCCCTTTGCTTCGCAGGCAGGCATTCAATCCACTGAGCCACACCAGCCAGGGCAAGAAACTTTCTTATGGTAAAGAAATGCTTTTTAGGCTTCAGCCATTTAAAAAAATACTTATTTATTTTTTAGGAGTTGGGGGAGGAACAGAGGTAGAGAAACAGGAATATGTGAGAGAGACATGAAGTGGTTGCCTCTCACACACACCCCAACTGGGGACCTAGCCCGCAACCCAGACATGTGACCTGACCAAGAATCCAACAGGTGACCTTACGGTTTACAGGACAACACCCAACCCATTGAGTGACATGAGCAGGGCAGCCATTTTTCTTTATATCAAAGTCCTATTTGGTACTTCTTGTTGCATAGAGAAAAGTTTTTCAAGTTTACTCAACCACAAATCTGGTAGTTATCCTGCGTGTTCTCCTTTCTATAATTGGTTATTTAATTCTCCTGTAGAAAAGTCTTTTCTGCCTTTTCAAATTTCTCCTAACCCCTCCCTTTCTTCTTTAACCTCCACTGTTTAAATTTAGGTGCTCATCTTTATCATGGAATATTGCACTGATTTCTTGAATCTCACAGATCTAGGCAGCCTTCAGTTGCTTTCCCATCTTAATATATGCCCTTTTAAAGATTCATGTCTGATCTTATAATACTCCACTCATGCTAAAATAATTTCCTTTCTTAAAACTTTATTCTTTAACTTTTCTGCCTTCGCATATTTTTTAAGTCCCAAGAGGTCATGGACTTTGTTGTGTTCTCTACTGTATTTCCAGAGCCAAGAAGAGAGCCTTCTGAACTACTGGTGCTCAATGACTAAAGAGCTTCAGGGATACATCAGGCTGCTGCTTTTTTTTTTAAATAAAGATTTTATTTATTTACTTTTAGAGAGAAGGAAAGGGAGGGAGGAGAGGGAGAGAACCATTATTAGTGTGTTAGATACATGGATCAGTTGTCTCTCCCACGCTCCCAGTTGGGGACCTGGGTGGCAACCCAGCCATGTGCCCTGACTGGGAATCGAATCAGAGACCTTTTGGTTCTCAAATATATTTAATTTATACATTACACATAATATATATGTAGTTTATATAATATGCGTAATATTTTATTCTGTTTTCCTCACTGATATAACACATGTCAAATATCCCAAGATAAATGAACTTTACCCCTAGTCTCTGCAGTGTTTTTTTCCTTCTCAAGAAGGTAGAGAAAGCAGTAATATGACTCATGTTGGTTTGTTTCCTTCAAGTTCTTCATGCTAGTCTCATGGCTGCCTCTAGTATATGATTTGGTTGTTAGAATAAGCATTGTTTAGGCAGGATCTGTAATTCCCTGGAGCTATTGTGGAAGAGCTTATGTAATATATAATTATGAACTTGTTCAAAAGATACATAATTAACTTAATTGTTTAGCATGACTCCTTTTCAGTCTGCCTCATAAGTAAATCAGTATTTTGCAACCTGAGTGCAGTTTAATGCTCCTATAGAAATGAATTACACCACTGAAAAATAACTAAAAAATTTACATGTTTATCAAACCTAAAAATTTTCTGTTAAGTGGTAATATTTTCAACTAATTTTTCTTATCTTAAAATAATATCTAACAAAAATTTAAAAATTATTTATTTATTTTTAGAGAGAGGGCAAGGGAGGGAGAGAGGGAGAGAAACATTACTATGTGGTTGCCTCTCGTGCCCTGCTGGGAACTGGCCCACAACCCAGGCATGTGTGTGCCCTGACTGGGAATTGAACTGCGATTCTTTGGTTCACAGGCCCACACTCAATCCACTGAGCTACACCAGCCAGGGTGGAACTTTTTATATTAAATGTTCAACATGACAAATTCCTAACAAAAAATATGTAAATGTAGGATTCAACATGCAAATATTACATTAGGTGCTAAAATTCAGGTTACAAATGTAAATATCAAATAATAGCATACTTTTGGTTTAATAGAAAATAAAGCAGTTGTGTAGTCATGCTCAACACATTGGTTAAGTAAAGAGAGAAATGGGCAAGGGTGTCAAAGGTATGCAGAGATTTAACAGGTCACGTCATCTGTAGCCCTTCTGACAGACTGTGTAGGGAGGTATGTGATAAATGCCCTGTAATATGGTGGCTTCAGTTCATCAGTGATCACTGTTCATGCGTTTTAAACACTGAAAACTAGATTCAAAGTCTGCTCAACAAGCTAATAATACTGTCAGTCCCTTCTATTAAAAAACATAGTTTAAATTTAGTTCAAGGTATAGCCCACTCGTTTTCGCAATTATATTTAGATACAATGGAGATTATACTACTGTACGTAATCAGATATACTGCTGTGCAAAGTTAATTCTGGTTAACATATTTTATATTTGTTAGTCATCAACAGCACACATTTTATATCCAAAAAGAAATATTATCAATCCAGCAAAATTTGTTACATTTAATTTCTTTTAAAGAGGAAGAAACTAACCTTAAGAATAGGTTTTTTTAGAGGGGAATGAAGGGGGGAAATAGAACAACTGTCATGGCATAATCAATAAAATATATTTAAAAAATAAATAAAATAAAAAGTTACTGTCACCCTAAAAAAAAATAGGCTTTTTTAAAGCTCATTTTCAAATTATTGATAAAAACTTACTAAAAGAGGTACTGGCTGGTGTAGCTCAGTGGATTGAGCACAGGCCTGTGAACCAAAGGGTTGTTGGTTCAATTCCCAGTCAGGGCACGTGTCTGGGTTGTGGGCTAGGTCCTCTCTGTAGGGGGTGTGCTAGAGGCAATGTTGATGTTTCTCTATCCCTGTCTTTTTCCCTCCTTTCCCCTCTCTCTAAAAATAAATCTTTTTAAAAAAAATTTAAAAGAACTTAACAATGTAAATATCATAACCTCATTTATAAAGCCTTATTTGACCATTCTCCTTTCTTCTGGCAAAATAATAATTACTTTTTAAAGATTTTATTTATTTATTTTTAGAGAGAGAGGGGATGGAATGGAGAAAGAGAAGGGAGAGAAACATAGATTGGTTGTTTCTTGCACATCCCTAGTCGGCGACCTGGACTGCAACACAGGCATGTGCCCTAGCTGGGAATCAAACTGGTGACCCTTTGATCTTCAGGCTGGCGCTCAGTCCACTGAGCCACAGCAGCCAGGGCTAGGCTTTTACTCTTTGCTGTCAGTTTCCTGTTCACTGTTTTCTCAACTTCCTCTCTCAGTTAATTAAATTGGGTTCTCCTTTCCCTTCAATTCTGCCTGGCCAAATCCTCCATTTTCTTTCAGACCCAGCTTTCTTCTACATTTCAACAATATGACTGTCTAGAGTATTCTAGCTCAGGAGAATCTCCTTGTTTTAAAGTGTTTACTTAAGTGTTTTACTTATGTGGGTATACAATCATATCCTGTATGGTAATCCATGGGTGGGTTGTCTCAGTTTCAACTGAGAGGTAGTAAGTCATTTTTCATATTTGGATCACTTACAGTACTTCCTATAGGATTTTAAATAGTATGTCTGAGATGTTAATATGTTTTTGTGTTTGTAGGCCTCAAAAATGTCTGAAAATTCCAGTGACAGTGATTCATCTTGTGGTTGGACTGTCATCAATCATGAGGTATGCTACCTAATAGTTTTTATAAGGCAGTTTGTAATATTACAGTGTTAGCAGTGATTTAAATGAGGTTCTTTGAAAGCCAATGATTTTCTACATTTAAGCATATGGTTTCATTGTCTATAGCTTAGACATTTTTCCACCTACATTAACCTTTGTTACTAAAAACTCTTCATGAGCCAGAGTCATCTACATTATTGTACATTATTTTTCTCACCTTTGAGACAGTAGGAAAATATTTATTGAAGGTTTATAATTGGTCAGGTCCTGTGCTTTATCTACATTCTCATAACTTTAAACCTCTGGTATAAATTGTTTTCATTCTCATTTCATAGTTGAGAAAAGTAAAGCTTAGAGAATTTGAGTAATTTGGCCAAGAGTAGGTAACTGTAAAATATCAGAGCCTGCATTTAAACAACAAAGAAAGGAGCGTGGAGAACATGTGTTCCATTTATAATATGTATTAGCAGAAAATATGTATTGACAGAAAAAGGACTATGGCTAGAACTTTATTACAAAATGAATTTTATATAGAAGTACGGTGTTACATAATTAGTATATAATAAACATTCTCACAGTGGCGATATATGTTCATTTTTGGAAAATCATAATACATTGGTGAATAGAAGCAGTAATAAAAGTCATCTATAGCTATTCAGAGTTTTAATGGATTTATCTGTTTTCCTGTTTGTTTTTATGATCTCTTAATCCTCACTTGTTTTCCTTCATTAAGATTTAAAATGGGGTGTGTGTATATATATATATATATATATATATTTTTACCCTCACCTAAGGATATGTGTATTGATTTTAGAGAAGGAGGGGGAGGGAGAGAGAGAAGAGAAACATCGGTGTGAGATTCCCTGTGCACCCTGACTAGGGATCCAACCCACAGCCTAGCCATGTGACCTGATTGGGAATCGAATCCGAGATCTTTTGGTGTATGGGATGATACTCCAACTGAGCCACTTAGTCAGGGCTAAAATGATATTTTTTACAATTTGATAACTTAAGATTTAGACAAATGGTTAGTCATATCTTCTAGAAAACAACATTAACAAAAAAATTGCTTTTTCCACAAGAAAGTTTCACAGTTTAATAGCAGCTGTACCAACTGGTTCCTTCCTTCCTTCCTTCCTTCCTTCCTTCCTTCCTTCCTTCCTTCCTTCCTTCCTTCCTTCCTCCCTCCCTCCCTCCCTCCCTCCCTCCCTCCCTTCCTTCCTTCCTTTTTTGTTTTTTTTTTTATGAGTAACTTTTCTGTTTTAACCTGTTTTTCTACAAAGCTTAGATGAACTCCTATAGCAACAACTTCTCCATCAAGCATAATTAACTAGGAGCAAAGCAGCTGTGGGGGTCCTACTTGCAGTTTGCAGTTTGAAGCAAGACGGCACCTGAACCACTCCAGCACTTAGACACGTGTGTCATCAGGGCATTCTGTATTAAGGGTGTCTTGTCACAGAGTAAATCAGATCTGTACTTTTATGTTTCTTCCCTCCATATCTAGTTATCAAGTTCTTCTCTTCTTTTGCTCTTGTGTCTTACATGTGTTCCCTTATCCTTTCCCATTGCCCCCGTTCTCATTTAGGCCAGAACTGATCTGAGACCCCCAGCCCATCCCTACCTAACCTTGCTTCTGTTTCTGTCATTCTCCTACCACTTTAGGCAACCCCAAGACTTACACTGAGGATTCTTTAGTCTCAACTCAGAACCTTCTCGTTTAATGAATTCTTTTAATTTTTGTTGTTCTGAGCGATATCTGTCAGGAGAACTCAGGCCTTTTGGTTTCATGGGTTAGTAAACTGTAGGAAAATTGAGGGAGGAGTATGGGGAGAGGCGGAATCAAATGAGTGGTTAACTTAATTTTGCTAATTAAGGCACAAGATCCACTATTTGATTAAAGAAAAGACAGCCTGATTGAAACTGAAAACAAATTGAGAACCCAAAAAATATTGTATGACAGTTTTTACTATTTATTGCTCATTTTTAACTTTACAAATGAATGATAACAAAACCTCAAAAAAAAAGAAAAATATATACTCTGATACCAAATTAAGGACAAACTTGAAATTAATAAGTAATCTAAAGTTATATAAGCTAAGTTTACTCCATCAATCTGATGGGTTCATGTTAAACCTTGCCCCTTAAACTTTTTTAGTTTTATATTGCTAAAACAAGTAGTTACTTATATGTGGCTGTTTATCTGAATGGGCTATAAATTTGAATTTTTGGATTCAAATATTTTATGTCTTACAATACCTGTAACAAACTGCCTTGCCTATAGTAGTTCTTTAATGTTGAGTACAAGCAAATTAGTAGAAATGGATAAGTTCAGAAACTTCTATCCTCTGGGATTCACATTTATTTCTTGGACTTACAAAACAGTCATCAGGTCATTTGACTTTTGGGCTGCCTTCTGTTTTAGAATCTAAACCTGTTCTCCATTATGCTGTTTCCCTGCCATAGACCTTTATGGACTAAATTGAACAAAAGGTAGTTGGATTAGATCTGTTTTCTTTGGAGTATGGCAGCATTGAGACTTGTGGTAATGGAAGCATCAACTTGTAGTCAACCTAGCTTTGAGGAGCTGATAGATAAATAACTGATTTTCACTTTTCCCTAGGGGTCTGATATAGAGATGGTGAATTCTGAACATGGAACAGCCAGTGACAGCTGTGAGCTCACCCCAGAGGATTCATCTTTAGAGCAAGAGGAGCTGCAAGTATTGCAATTAGAGCAGGGAGGTAAGAGGTTTAACAAGTCTGGTTTTTAATTTCTTTAAAGAGGATGTGTGAGGGACATTACAAATCTTACCCTCATCTGGCTAATCGAGGTCACTGCAGGACTAGAATTTGAGTACGTAGGTGGGCAGGCCTGCAGAGCCTGTGGTACCATCCTGCGCAGGGGTTAGTTTTTTTTTTTTTTTTTTTTTTAATAAATTTATTTATTTATTTTTTGAATTAATTATGCTGTTACAGTTGTTCTATTCCCCCCTTCATTCCCCTCCACCCTGCCCCCCAACCCCACCATTACCCCCCTTTAGTTTATGTCCATGTGTCTCAAGTCCTTTAGGTTCTATATTTCCCATACTATTCTTGCCCCCCCCCATCTATTTTCTATCTACTGTCTATGCTACTTGTTTTCTGTACCTTCTCCCCCCTGTCTCCTCCTCCCACTCCCCTGTTGCTAACCCTCCTTGAGATCTTCATTTCTATGTTTCCACTCCTGATCTAGCTGTCCTTTTAGTTTGCTTTCGTTTTAGGTGTGGTTGTTAATAACTGTGAATTTGTTGTCCTTTCACTGTTCATGTTTCTTTAACTTCTTTTTCTTAGATAAGTCCCTTTAACATTTCATATAATAAGGGCTTGGTGATGATGAACTCCTTGAATTTGGTCTTATCTGAGAAGCACCTTATCTGTCCTTCCGTTCTAAATGAAAGTTTTGCTGGGTAGAGCAATCTTGGTTGTAGGTCTTTAGATTTCATGACTTGGAATATTTCTTTCCAGCCCCTTCTTGCCTGTAAGGTCTCTTTTGAGAAATCTGCTGACAGCCTGATGGGGACTCCTTTGTAGGTGATTGTCCCCTTAGCTCTTGCTGCTTCCAGGATTCTTTCCTTCATTTTAATTTTGGCTAATGTAATTATGATATGCCTTGGTGTGTTTCTTCTTGAGTCCAACTTTTTTGGTACTCTCTGAGCTTCTTGGATTTCTTGGAAGTCTATTTCCTTTGCCAGATTGGGGAAATTTTCTTTTATTATTTGTTCAAATAGTTTTTCCACTGGTGGTTGTGTCTTTCCCCCTTCTGGTACCCCTATAATTCGGATATTGGAGCGTGTATAGATGTCCTGAAGGTTCCTAAGCTTCTCCTCATTTTTCTGAATTCTTATTTCTTCATTCCTTTCTGTCTGATGATTTTTTTCTTCTTCGTTCTGGTCCACTCCATTGATTTGAGTCCCAGTTTTTTTTTCATCTCTATGGTTTTCCTGTGGAATTCCATTCATTTCCCTTAATTTAGCCTTCATATGTTTCTCTAATTTGTGGCTATAGTCCACCAGATCTGTGAGGAAGCTGATGACCAGTGTTTTAAACTGTGCGTCTGAGAGATTTGCTATTTCTTCATCACTTAGATTTATCTCTGGGGCTTTGAGGTCTTCCTGCGACATTTTTGGTCTGTTCTGGCCCTTTAAGTGGGAGGAGCGGCGCCTTGGATTCCCAGGTCGCTGGGTTGTGACGCTGTATGTGGGGGCGTGGTCAGAGCGGGGAAATGGCGGCGCCCGCTATCGCCGCCGCGGCCGCCGTGTATCGCCGCCGCCGGGGCCGGTCCAAGCGCTCACTCCCTCACCCGCGTGCAACCATGCAACCTCAGTCAACTCGCTGCCACCGCCTCCCCACTGACTCCTCCGTGGTCGCTCACCCGGTGGGCCGCTCAGTCGCTCACTAGGTCCAATCCTGGGTTTGGAACCCGTGCGACTGGATTCGCTTGTCTGGATTCCGCGCCCGGGTCGACTCCTTTGTAACTCCTCACCCGACGCCGGTTTCGCCCCTTACCGGTCGGGCCGAAGAATTTGTTGTTAGCGGACTTCCGAAAAGTTCAGTTTTCCGTGTTCTGGTTGTGTTTTCTGATGCTAATATTTAGTTGTCCCTAAACTTGGTTGTGTGAGGAGGCAGGCACATCCACCTTAAACCTCCATCTTGGCGGAAGTCCAGGGGTTAGTTTTTTGCAGCTATAGTATGTTTGTGCCTCCGGATGACTCTTTGATATTACGTGTGTTAGTCACTCAGTATTAATCTTGATTAGGACCAGTGATGTACAAAATTATTGAATCATCACAAGTGACTTACTAAACTCATTTCCAGTTATTGTCACACTTAAGAGTACTTTGGTTAGAGGTAGTAAATGATATTTTACTACTGTATTACATTAATGTTATATATAATCATACTTCTTATGAGATTTGATGTTCACGTTAATTGGAAATATGATGCCCAGATAATTAATGCATACTCTTATCTTCATATTTAAATTACCATTATTTCTTTGTTTAATATATTTGATTATACTATTACAGTTCTCCCCCCCTTTTTTTGGCCCCTTTATTCCTCTCCACGCAGTAGCCCACTTCCACCAGCATTCCCCCACCTTAGTTAATATCCATGGGTTGTACATATAAGTTTTTTGCCTTCTCCATTTCCCATACTATTCTTAACGTTCCCCTATTTTGTACCTACCATTTATTGCCTGTACCTCCCATGCTTTTTCTTCCTTATACCTTTTCCCCCATTCTCTCCTGCCCCATCCCCGCTGATAACCCTCTCTGTGATTCTGTTCCTGTTCTAGTTGTTTGCTTAGTTATTTTTTTTTAGGTTCAGTTGTTGTGAGTTGTCATTTTACTGTTAATATTTTTCATCGTTTTCTTTTTCTTAGACAATTCCCTTTAATATTTTGTGTAATAAGGGCTTAGTGATGATGAACCCTAGTCAGGGTACACAGGGTACTGGGAGGTACTTTATCTGCCTTCCCATTCTGAATGATAGCTTTACTGGATAGAGTAATCTTGGATGCAGGTCCTTGCCTTTCATGACTTGGAATACTACTTTCTAGCTCGTTCTTGCCTGTAAAGTCTCTTTTGAGAAATCAGCTGATAATCTTTTGGAAACTCCTTTGTAGCTGTCTCCTTTCCTGTTGCTGCTTTTAAGATTCTCTCCTTACCTTTAATCTTGGCTAATGTAATTATGATGTGCCTTGGTGTGTGCTTCCTTGGGTCCACCTTCTTTGGGACTCTTGGAGCTTCCTGGGCTTCCTGGAAGTCTATTTCCTTTGCCAGATTGAGGAAGCTCTCCTTCATTATGTTTTCAAATAAATTTTCAATTTCTTGCTCTTTCTCTTCTCCTTCTGGCACTCCTGTGATTTGGATGTTTTAAAAATTGTTCTGGAGGTTCCTAATCCTCTCCTCATTTTTTTGAATTTTTGTTTCTTCATTCTGTTCTGGTTGAATGTTTAATTCCTCCTTCTGGTTCAAATTGTTCATTTGAGTCCTGGTTTCCTTCCCGTTACTGTTGGTTTCCTGTATATTTTCCTTTGCATAGCTTTTACTTCTTCCTCTATTTTGTGACCATACTCCACCATTTCTGTGAGCATCCTGATTACCAGTGTTTTGAATTCTGTATCTGAAAGGTTGGCTGTTTCTTCATCACTTAGTTCTATTTTTGGAGCTTTGATCTGTTCTGTCCTTAGGGCCATATATTTATTGGGGGGTCTCAGTACTCCTGTTACATTGTAAGGGGCAGAGCCTTAGGTATTTGCCAAGGTGCGGCCACCCACTTCACTGTATTTTGGTGCTATATGTGGAGGAGGTGTCCAAAAGGGAACAGTGCTGCTTGCTCAGCTCTTGGCTGGCTGTTATTGCTTGTCCTGCTGCCCATAAGCAAATTGGGCACTTCTGGTGCTGATTCCTGGTTGGATGGTTTTGTGTACATTGTAGGACCATGTGGGTCCTATGAACTCTTTCCAGTGAACTCTCCTATGAGGCTGAGAGTTTCTGCTGGTGCCACAACTCCCACAGGTTTTTACAGCCAGAGGCTTTGAGGCTTTATTTCCCTGTGCTGGGACCCTGGGTTGCATGGTCTGTGTTGCTCCTCCGCAGTTGTTTCTCCTGGTTTATCCACATGCAAATGTGGGACTACCTGGTCCTCCAGCCACCACCTTGCCTTGAGTCCTCTCCTCGATACCCGTCGCTGCCCCTCCTACTGGTCTAGGTGAATGTTTCTTCTTTAACTTCTTGGTTGTCAGACTTCCATACAGTTTGATTTATGACAGTGCTAGTTGTTTTTTGTTGTTGTTTTTAAATTTGTTGTGCTTCTTTTGGTTGTTTGAGGAGGCAAAGTGTATCTACCTATGTCTCCATCTTGGCCGGAAGTCAAATTACTCTTATTTCTAAACTTAAAAAAAATTACTAAGCTTGTAAAAAGAATATCCCTCCCCTACTGCCACCCCAGAGAATCCATGTGGAGGTGCACATGCTAGAAATATAATAGATTATGTCTGTTAATCTTATTTTTAACTTACTTGTTAATTACTATTCTTATTTGAATTGTGATTGTCCTCTTTCATGGGTCAGAGATTTCTTTGAGAATCTGAAAGCTAGGAATTCCTCCCAGAATACATGTATATTAAAAAAATCTCCATACTCTTTAGGAGTCCCTGGACTGAAGTATACCTCTGTTGAGGAGTCTTACCTCCAAAATAATATTCTGTTAGGGACTGTGTAACAGAAAGGCACTGGGTGGTTTTTTTCTTTCTTTCTTTTTTGGCAGGGGTTAAATTATATGAGAAATATAAGTTGATGATAAGAAAAAGAGAATGAAGAAAAATTTTAAATCACATATATATACACATACACACACATTTTTTTGGGTCTGTAGATAATTGCTGTAACCATTTAGTGCACAGGGTGGGGTAAAAGTAGATTTACAGTTTTGAGTATGCCAAAGTATATTCTTGTATTATTATTTATTGTATCACTTTCCATTTAAACAGCTATAAACCTACATTTACCCCACCCTATATATTCTTCGCTATGCATAAATTTATGTTTATTATATAGTTTTAATTTTCTTTTGTTAATATCGCATAGCCTTCTTCATTAAATATCTAATATTATGAACTCCTGTTTCCATATTTTTTCCTTTGATGAGTTTTAAATAAAATATGTTTGCTGCCGGACATCTTTTTTCTGTGTTCAAGTTCTTGTTTTTTTTTTTACTGTCTATTTTTTATTGTAGAGCATTTGTAACTTGAAGCCACAGTTTTGATTCTTGTGTTACCAGACATTAACAGTCATTAGAAGAGTGGTACCTTTAGTTTGAATAAACTTCAAGAATGCAGGATATATCTGCCATCAAATGTCTAAGAATTGATTTTCTTAACAGATTTTTATAAAAACCTTGGATTAAGTACTTTGTGAGGTAGAGACAATATTTATTTATAGATTGTATTGTTTTAATTGCTTTTAAATGAGCTCCAGTTCCTTATCTAAAATTATCACCTGACAATTTGAAATATTGAAACAACTATATTTGAAATACAGAGATCTTTTTAGCAACAGAAGAATGACTTTGTGTGTCATTTGATTGAATCCATTAAAAAATTAGGAATACATTTTATGTACTCAGATTATTATATTTGTAGACTGCTAAAGTGATAAAGTATAACTGAGATGATTTTTGCTTTTTATCAGAGAACAGCCAAAATGTCACAATGTTAGTGGGAGAAGAAACTGCTTATCCAGCTTTGGAGGAAACGAAGTCAGCATGTGAGGTAAGCTGTGTTACTCTGGAAATACGGTAAACATAGAGAATACTATTTAAAGCTTCCATTTCTAGTTGTGCATTCTGTTCCTGTTTGAATTATAAACAAATTTCATTGAAAATTTTGAGATTCCCCAGATTGATTGCTTTTAAGTTCAAAATTATTAGCTTTTATTTAAATTTCTGATTGAGATATCTTTTAATTTAGAGAAGTGATTTCTTGGTCATTTATGATCAGATCACCCTGAGAGGTTACTTTCCATAGAACCCTACTTTTCATCTAAAGTACTTGACTATAGTTGACTTCTAGATAAAACTAGATAGCTAGATGATCTTTACATGGCATAGTTATTAAAGTTTATTACATATATAATCAGGACAATTTAATCAGTCTTTTGAAGGGCAGGCTCTCTGAGTTATGCTAAAATAAATCCACAGAACTGGTGAGAAATCTCTCTGTGGTCATTGGGTGGTAAAGGTGGGCTTCTTAGCATCTTCAATCTACCAGGAGTAGGTAGCAGTTAGAGTCCCCAAGGGATTTGAAGGTGTTTTCATACTAAAAGATGAAGCTACTATTGAGTAATCCTTTCCTATTGGATGGAAATCATATCTTCTATTTTTAAGCCTTACTGCTTACATACCATTATTTACTTTGAACTGTGTAGAAAACGTAAGGCCCTTAAATAATTGTTGAGTGTAACTGTCTCTAAAATTATGATTCTTTAGGGAGAGGAAGAAAGGTCACCTGAAGACAATGTCTACTTTGGAACTGTCAGTGACGATTCTGATATTGTTACCCTTGAGCCACCTAAGTTAGAAGAAATTGGAAATCAAGAAGAAGCTGTAATTGTTACAGATGTACAGAGTCCAGAAGACTTCAATATGGGCTCTTCTTCTAGCAGCCAGTATACATTCTGTCAGCCAGAAACTGGTAAGTACTATATAAAGAATATACTGATAGTAGACTTCAGGAGTCCTGTGACTGCATTTTATATAATTGTTTGTTTTATAATCCTGAATCTCGAGTTTTTAATGTATTTGAATCAAACTTAAACACATTTATAAAATTTACTGTCATATTTAATATTTTCTTAGACTCTAGGACCTACAGCATGCCACAGTCTTCTTTTACAGTAAATACCATCTCTTAACCATTAAGTGAAAGACAAATATAGCCTCAAAGAGGTTTGTTAATGTCGCAAACACCCCAACTAAAATGCATTTGACATTTTTTTAAAGATCTTTTTCTTTTTTAAGATTTTATTTATTTATTTTTAGAGAGGGGAAGAGAGGGAGAAAGAAAGGAAACGGCAGTGTTCGAGAGATACATTGATTGGTTGCCTCTCTCCTGCCCCCAACTGGGGACCTGTCCTCACACCTCTGGCATGTGCCCTGACTGGGAATGGAACTGGTAGCCTTTTGGTTTGCAGGCCGGCACTCAATCCACTGAGCCACACCAGTCAGAGCACACATTCTTTAGATCTCTAAGAATGGGAGATTGAACCATTTTACCTAAAAGTAGGAAAATGTTAAGATTTTTACCTACATTGGTAAAAATTTTATATCGTAGAATAAGTGAAAGAAACTTCTTATTAAAACCTTTCAGATCTATTATTCAATGATTAGTCATTTAATAAACATTTACTGAATTGTACCATGTGCCAAACAGGGCTCAAGTAGATGTCAGTCCCTGACTTTTAGATTTTAGATTGATTTATGAAAATGTGTCTATTGTAAGTCTTATCTTTTTTTTAAAAGATTTTATTTATTTATCTTTAGAGGGGACGAGGAGGAGAAAAGAAGAGAGAAACATCAATGTGTGGTTGCCTCTTGTGTGTCCCCTGCTGGGAACTGGCCGGCATCCCAGGCATGTGCCCTGACTGGGAATTGAACTGCGATCCTTTGGTTCACAGGCCCAAGCTCAATCCACTGAGCTATACCAGCCAGGGCCTGTAAATCACATCTTAATGCAGTTTAATGCCTGTTGTTCAGACAGAATCATTTGGAGGTTAAAATGATAGTTACTGAACTAATTCCCTTCTAGAAGTTTTTGGCTCAATTTTAAGGGCATAAATAACAATTTTCAATGTGATACAATATTTAGATATAACTTATTGGAAAGAAATAAGAAACAAATCTATAATTAACCCACAGTTGCCACTTAAGGGTGAATTACAGGAAAGAAACCTTGGAACACTGCTAGTAATTCCAAGAATTTCCTAAGTTGATACAGAAACAGGAACATGAAGTATCTATTTCAGATCATTTCCTCAGATTTTACCATTCTTTAATATTTACATTTACCAGAATCAGATAATGAAATTTCTATAATTGCACTTAAAGTTAATAAAATGTCAATTAGAGGTTTTTTAATTATTTCACTTAATAATGAGTTATTTTCAATTAGTATATCAGTAATGTGCCTGTAAATGAGCTTGAAAACACTTGATTCAGATGTGTAAATACTCATCTGGCATTCTTAGTGGTCATAGAGAAACTTCAGCCTTGGCCAGAATAGGGCTAATATAATTGATTTTAGAATCCATTTTAGTCATTAAATTTTATTTTATTTACTTAAATATAGGAATCATGTTATATTCAAGTATTTTTTCCCCTTTTTCTTCTTCCTTAAAAGACCATGCTGGTGTTGGCTGGTGTGGCAGTGGATTTAGTGCCGGCCTGTGAACCAAAGGGTTGCAGGTTTGATTCCCAGCCAGGGTACATGCCTGGGTTGCAGGCCAGGTCCCCAGTAGGGGGTGTGTGTGAGAGGCAACCACACACTGATGTTTCCTTCTTTTTCCCTCCCTGCCTCCTGTCTAAAAATAAATAAATAAAACCTTTAAAAAAAAAAGAAAGAAAACTTAAAATTAAAAAAAAATTTTTTAAATAGAAGACAATGTTAATTTAATTTGAGAGTATTAATAGGCAAAAAAAGGTAGTTGAAGCAGGAATTTTGCAGATGAATCCAAGCAGACATTTAAGAAATTTACATGTACTGTTAATTGTTTTTCAGATAATTGGACACCCAGAACACATCATTCTAGTTTTTATCTAACTTTATAAATTTGGACTTTGGAATTTTATAGATTCAGTTAAGAGGTATAGTTTATTAGGTATATTTTTATCCATTGCTGTTCCTCCCAAAGGACAGTGTTAAATAATAAAAAAAGACATTGGGCTATGTTGAAAAGACTGCATATAAATCAGTTGCACGGTTTTTGTTCTCTATCCCCTTCCCCCCCCCCCCTTTTTTTCTTTTGGTTCAAGTTCCTGCTACCCATTGCTTACTTATTTTGTTTTTTCCTTTAGGATTTCAACTTCAAGTTTTCTCTTCTAAATTAGATTCTTGTGATAGTAATCTTTTATTGATGTAAGAATACTCCCCACCCTCTTCATGTGGCCCTCTTCTCCCCTAAAAGAGAGCAAAGTATGCAGTTGTAGAGAAGTTTGTATTGTATATGTTTTTTTAAAAAGGCATGATTATAAGATTTTGATGGAGCACAAATAACAATGTTAAATGATAATTAAGTATTTTTGATTCTTTTTTATTTATAACAAAGCTTTATACATCTTTTTCCCTGTTTATTCACAAAAGAAAGGTGGTGGGAGAAGCTGTGGAAGATTCCTGAATGCATAAGGGGATGGGATGATCAGCTGAAACACCATGTTCCTAGCCAACTCGCTTTCCAAGGTGGTGTGACTAAATCTATCAGCTTTTCTAGAGCTGAGTATGCCTAGTCACATTAACTGTTTACTTAGTGCTTTAAAGATATCTGTTGTCAGCTGTGGTACTCTAAACAGGTGTTCAAGTTGATTTTGTAATAAAGCTGGCTAAGCTTATTGCATGCCTTTGCATTGTTTGCATCTTGGACTAAGCTTTAAAAGGTTTTTTTAAAACTTAGTCCAAAATATTTCAGCTTTCATATGTATGGGTTAAAAAAGATGGAAGCATTAGATAATGATGTGAATTTATTAATATGGGCTAAGCTGGTTTTTGACTTGGAATATATAACGAAGGCAGTATGTTAAAATAGAATGAAAAGTTTGTAAGTTTATTTAAGGACTTTTGGCAAAAGAGTTTTTTGGTTTTTTTTTTTACATTTACCCATCTTAATACTATCAGAGTGTTTGACTTGAATACTCCATCCATGGTCATGCCTTTGTATTATGTAATGCTTTGTTTAAACCTTCCTTTCTTTCTCTCTGTCCAAGATATGTAACCTGACAGCTGAGGTGAAGGTATCTTGGAAAAACTAGTGATCTAGAATAACCAGATAAACATGATGGGGGTGAGGGTCATGAACAAAAGCTCTCTCGCAGGCATTTGTGTCACTAAATGTTAGGAATATTCATTCACTCAACACAGTGCCTTCTGCCTTTGTGTTTGTTGTTGTAAATGTGAACGTTAACTGAATTCTCCATGATTCTCCTTTAAAAAGTATTGCCTAACCTAAGTCACCAGCTTTCATTCCTCTGGCATGGATAACCTGTCTTTCGAAGAATGGTTTTGCTTTTTTGAAGCATGAATGTTGGTTGTTCTGTAGCTCTGTGCATCAAGTTTAAGTTCACATTTTATCGTTACTTTTAGTGCTTTTTTTCTTTCTAACTGGCCTGGGGGAATTATTATTGAGTCTTATAATCTTCTGTGTCAGCATAGTTTATTGATAATGTGAAAACGTGTTAACAGATTACACATAGGGAAAAAACGAAGGTAATTTTTCTAGTGGATATGTTTCCAGGACTTGAGATATCTTGTGAATTAAAAAAATTTTTATTATTTTTTTCATAAAGGAGCAGCACCAAACTAGTCCTTAATATCGGAGATAGCTGTTGTGTCACTTCCTCATGCTGACATATTTACTAGAGGGTAAAATTAATAGCCTTCTAGTAAGAGTGGCAGTTGAAGGGAAGGGCTCATCTGACATCTGGAAACCTGTGTTAAACGATAGTGCTTTCAACTTTGATTGTAGACTCAGGATGGAAGTGAAACTAGAGGCCAAATACACCTAAGGAACTGCTTGTGTGTGTCCCTCTGTTCCTTAAACACTTGAGCTTAAATTAACCTCTGTTTGAAACTGAAGGAAGAGATACAGGGTTTTTTTGTTTTTGTTTTTCCTTTTAGAAATAGTATTTGTTTATAGCTGTAATATCAAAGAAATTTAACCGACTATGAGAATGTTTGTTCTAATGGTATAAACTACAGGAGAGGTTTAACAAAAAAAAAAAAGATAGACCTTCAAAGGCATATAATATGATTAACAGATTCATGTGCATCACAGTTGAAGTATTTCATGCTTTGGCATTGTGTTGATAAACCTGAAAATTTGAGGTTTTGTTTTTGGTTGTCTTATGTAAAAAAGGCATGAAGGGATGGCATTAATTATTGTATATTATATTTACTGGGAAATCTTTCCTGGAATTTTTAATATTCATCCTCATTTTTTTAATAGTATTTTCATCTCAGCCTAGCGACGACAAATCAAGTAGTGATGAAACCAGTCATCAGCCCAGTCCTGCCTTTAGACGACGCCGTGCTAGGAAGAAGACCATTTCTAGTTCAGAATCTGAAGAACGACTGCTTCCTGAACAAGAAACTGAACCCCCTAAGGAGTGTAAACCCCATTTCAGTAGTGGCCTCAATAAGTGTGTTATATTGGCTCTGGTGATTGCAATCAGCATGGGATTTGGACATTTCTATGGTAAGTAACTGATAAGCTGATGGCATAGGGTAGAAACACTAACAGTGAGGAATCTTGGGATCTGTTTTAGTGTCCTGTGAGCTTATATGATTTAAACACATAGGACACGTGTTTAGTGTTTGTATGATTAAAATATAACCTTGAAAAGCTTGCAACCTGTTTGATCCTCAGTTTTCTCAATTGGAGAGTGGGGATGGTGTTGCCTATTTCACAAAGTTGTTTTCACTTCAATTTAGCAGTATTTCTTATTTAAGAAATAGAAGGATTATTAGCATGTATGTTTTTATTAGAAGGAAAAGATTGGAAGATTAAAAATCTGAAGTGCTTACTGGAAGGCAAATCATTTATTTTAAAATCACAATTAAAGCAATTTGAACTAAGACTTTATTAGGAGGATTATTTAAACCCCATTTGAAATAGTTACAATAATGGCTGCTCATTATTTCTGCCTTCCAGTTTTATGTAAGCTTTATATTTTGTTGCATTTGTTTTATAGTTTAGCATTATATTTTGCTTACTATTAATCTTGTTAGTATTTTTTTTTTATGTACATTGATTATCTTAATGCAAAGCCTTTAAAAGGCTCTAGTGAAAAGGAAGGAATTCTGTGTGGTGTTATTCCATTTGAGTGCCCAGCAGTTGAATCTTCTTTAAGGCACATATTTGCACAAAGATGAAAGTGTAGCCCTGACTGGTGTGGCTCAGTTAGTTGAGTGTCATCCTGCATAAGTGAAAGGTCACCGGTTAAGTTCTGGTCAGAGCACATGCCTGGGTTGTGGGCCTGGTCACTAGTTGGTTCACATGCGAGAAGCAACTGATCGATGTTTCTCTCCCTTATTTTCTCCCTCCCTTCCCTTCTCTCTAAAAACAAATAAAATCTTTAAAAAAGATGAGTGTTTGAGAACTGAACATTCACACTCTGCTTTATTACAATCAAAACAAATGGCTTAGATCTTATCAACAAATTTCGGTTTGTCTTATATTAACTACATTTAGATTTTTTGACTATGTAATTCACAATTTAACTTTCTGAAGTATTTCTGTTTTGCTATTTCATTCTACCAGGGTGTTCATTATATAAAGATTGAAGACATACATATACTTGTATGTTGATTTGTGGAAAAGATATCATTCAGCATAGTATACTGTTAGGGTAATGAATGAAGACGGTCAGTATTCGATTGAAATTGGTAAAATATGTTTCTTATAGGTGTCTACTTGAATTTAATACTGAAATACTATCATTTATATCCTCCCTTGAAGTATGTTGTAATGAGATTTAACCTGAAATACTTGTATTTAACTTTTTTCATTATCTAGCTGGAGCAAATATGTAAATCTGTTTTTTTTTTTTTTTTTGAGCATGATTCTTTTTCCCCCACAGGTAAACATGGAAGTAACAAAGGAGAAGGTCTTATCTTAATCTTTTTTCCTACTAAAAATAAAACAGTGATTTAATGTTTATCTAAATCCATTAAAACCTCACCAATTGCATGAACTTCTAAGTATTTTGTAGAAAGATCAATTTAGAGAGGAGTGCTTTCAAAATTGAGAAACTACTGCCACTACTTAGGATCTTGGTTACTTATAAAATTCACTTTAATAATTATATTTAACAAAACATTGTTCTGTGCCTGAAATTAGCTTTTTAGGATATGAAAAAACTAAATAATACAGTGTGAAGAAGGTTGATATAGTAAGAAGACTGGCTCAGTGAACATACAAAAACTTACCTGAACAACTTACTACTTTTTTCACAGTCACTGTTTAAAGGACATTACACTTTTTGCTTAACTCTGGCGCTAATCTCAACTTTAAGAGCTCTTTTGAGTTGATTTCAGAGCCACTGAATTTCTCATGCACCATGAAGTCAGTTGTTGCATACCATAATGTCTGTGCTTTACAATTTAACTAAAACATACTACTAAGTGAAATCACTCAGAACATTGACCAAGTTTGGCCCCATATAATTTTGGAGTTTCACACCTAGCCTGGAAGGAAGAGAAACTAGTATGACTGAGGATAGTAAAAGAATGTACTTAAAAGTATTTGGATTGCTGCACGTTCTGAAACTGCTTATAAAAGTTTAAAGAAAAATTTCATGCATGAAGCACCTAACTTCCTTACCTTTCTTTGCTCATAGATATCCATATTCTAAATTATTAGTGGAGTTCAGTTAGACTGGTTTTCTCAAGAAGTTACTTTAAGTATTGATAGGCTGTCTTGCTCTTCAACAGGTAGCACCACAGGATATAAGTAGGTGCCATGGTGTGTAGCGTAGACAAAGATTATAGCTCAAAGGCTATACTTAGTCATTCTGGAGACGGTAAGATTTTAGTTGTGTTTGGTCTTATTGTGCTTATGGTAGGTGGAAGGAAGGGGGAAAATTCCAGCAATGGAGAACCTGATAACCCAAAAGTAAACTTGCTGGGTTTGGGAGCAGTGAGAAGACTGCCTGGACTACAGCAGGATTGTTATTTAGAATAATGGAATGTAAAGTTGGAATATGTGGCGTGCTGTTACATTGTCAAACATCTTGGAATCAGGATAGGAGAGTTTGATTTATAGAGTGACCTCATAGCAATAAGTTTAGAGGGAAAGTGCAGGAAGGAAAATGATGTGGGGAAAATTAGGCCAGTCCTCTGGGGAATTTTGTAATTTAGATATTTGGTGTTTAGACCCTTAATTATAGGGATGGTAGGGATGGAGAGAAAGTTGGTGCAGTAAGGGACACAGAAGTAATCATGGAAAACAGAACTTGGGGATGGGACACGCAAGATACTTGTTGTTTGTGTTTGTTTTCAATTACCAGAAGTGTGCTAGCTGCTTTTCTTTTGGGGATGGGGTATGACTGGGAAAAGAGTTTTATTTCGAAGATGCAGTAAATAGATGATGAGCCATTTTGGTTTGTTTTTACTGAACTTTATTCTAGAATGGTTTAGGGTAGCTGTTGAAGTCTGATTATTTTTGTTCATTTGTTTCTATGAAGTTGTTCCCCAAATTGTGTCCAACAGGCAGCTGGATATATTGTATGGAAGCTCTGGTCAGATCTGTAGAGAAGTCTTAACAGCAGTGATAGCAAAAACTGACAGTGGGTTAATGTAATTAATATAGATAGATGTGTACATGTGACCAGAAGGCCAAAGATTGTACTTTGGGCAGTAACACTTTATAGTCAGGCCGCTGAAGATGTAGGAAAACAACAAAACAAACCACAGAACCTTTAGGAGTGGCTGCTTTCTTGCTCTTGGGAGGGTAAAAAAGCTAGGAGTGAGATTGAGAGTCATCAAATATGCTGTGTAATAGTACTGCCAGTTCAGGCCTCCACTAGGTTATTTTCCAGTGAGCAAAAGGAATTCATCCTATTAGAAGTTTGAAAAGAAAGATTTTCTGTCACTTGGGGTACTACATATGTATTTATTTCCACATTTTAAAAAATCTGAGATTCTTTTGAGAGATACTGAAACGAATTTGCCATGCTTTTATAAATTGGAAAATTTAAAGAGAGGGTGTGACTCCTCAGAGTATCAACTGTTAATTGGTAATAGTTGTCTCTAATTTGGCAAAGGATTTCTCTTTAGTGTATATCAAGATGTATTGAAGAAATTAAAATTTAGTTTTTTGGCAGTAAAAGAAGAAATAGTAAACTATCATTACATCCTCATTACAAAATTCTTTACATAAAGTTATACTACTCAGTAGATGTAATAGTAAACTTGTCAAATGCATTTTGCCTTATTTTTGATTGTGTTGTTTTTGTTCTCATATGCATGAAGCATGTAGCAGCATGTGAACAGGCATGTGTTGGCAAATTAACATTTTAATTTTTAAGGTGATTTTAATTTTTTAAATGGGTTTAAGATCCCTGTAGCACTGCTGGGATAGGGATGGTGGTGCTATAGTATGGATGTAACAAACACAGATGCTCAAAAGATTTGGCATTGAGAATGGTGGGGGATCACAGTTCGTCAATTATTTTCCTTGCTGTAACTTTTGAGTTTGTGTTGTATTATTTAGGAGAATTATAGTAAGAAAAAAATAGGCATTTTTGTTTTTCCTTGTAAACTGATTAGACTCCATGCTTTGTTTATTTCTCTGTCTGGGAGAATGCAACACTTTGTGTATTTCAAAGATCCCTCAAAAACTACAGAGATTAGCATGGCCCCCGAGTAAGGATGACACACAGTTCCTTGAAGCGTTCCATATTTTTTGCAGTGTCCCAGAGAGCATCCTCGTACTGTTTAATTAGCTCAGAAGAAGTATGAGTCAAAGCACAATATGTATCTCTCAAGAGCATAATAGTGACTTCCACTGTAAAAAAAGGGGATAATAAAGCCCTGGCTGGTGTAACTCAGTGGATTGAGCTCGGGCTGCGAACCAAAGGGTCACCAGTTAAATTCCCCAGTCAGAGCACATGCCTGGGTTGCAGGCCAGGTCCCCAGTGGGGGGGGGGGGAGGGCATGTGAGAGGCAACCACACACTGATGTTTCTTGCCCTCTCTTTCTCCCTCCTTTCCACTCTCTCTAAATAAATAAATCTTAAAAAAGGTCCAAGCAAAAAAAAAAAAAAAAGTAAACAGGCCTTAGTGTCTTCTATATAGTAAGATAAAAACATTACCATAAATTGTTTTCTTTGTTAGGGTACTGTGGACTGGCTTGTTTTAATCAAAAGAATAGTGAGCTGCTTAATTATCTCTGGGTATATGAGAAATAAAATATGTTAACCCACTGGCATAATTTATATTAACATCTATCCACCACCATTTGATGAATGATACCATGAGACTTTACTTATTCATACTTTGTTTATATATTCAGAAATTTTATAGACCCGTGAAATGCTAATATTTTGAAGAAAATGATCTTACCTTGATTAGTTAAATATATGTACATTAAATGTTTTATTATATGTTTAAAATATTGATAATCATAGCATTTATGTATCTAATAAAAATTTTCATTTTTAGGCACAATTCAGATTCAGAAGCGTCAACAGTTGGTCACAAAGATACACGAGGATGAATTGAATGATATGAAGGATTATCTTTCCCAATGTCACCATAAACAAGAGTCTGTTACAGATTATAAGGTAAGTACTACTAACACATTTTATTAAAAAATAATTGTTAGCCAATAATGAATATGCTATTTAGATACAAGTACAGATTAGCAAATTGATAATATCGGTAATTGTTGATTCAGTACTGTGTCCTCGTCACTGTACTCATGTACAGTATTTCTCTTATTTCTGATCACAACCCTGTGAATTAATCAAGTCTTAACTTCATTTTAAAGATGGAAAGAGGTTTAAAAAAGTTAAATAACTTTCCCAAGGCTAGCAACTGGCACAGCTGAATTTGATTCTGTCTTCCAAGGTGTTAATCCTAATCACTTATATTATAGTTAACATTTTAAGTTGATATTATATATAAAATATATACCATTATCATTAACTTAATTTTTACAGAGCCAAGCAAAACATTTTCATTCACTGAGAAAGAGGAGTTTTTGTAGCCTAAGGTGTTTCCTTAATCAAGGAAAATAATCAGGCAGTTTTTTTCCTCTGGTTTCTTGTAAGTTCTGATGCAAGAGATAGCATGTTATCCTGTCCTACTTAAAACTCAACAGACTCCGGCAGGACTGTGTTTGTTCATTCTGTCCAGTTACTTAACACATTTGTGGACTTATGAGGACCAGCATGGTTGCTGGTCTTCTATCTAGTTCTTCCCTGGGAAGGGTGTGTAGGGACTGTAGATAAATTCAGGGTAGGAAAAGAATAAACTGTTCCTTTTTCCTTCCCTTTCCCCACATTTCCTTTACACTTTATGTATCCCTTATAGGATTATGATTATATTTCTTTGGAAGACAGAATCCCACTTGACATCTGAATTATATCTTTCAGGAAACAACTACTGAAGTTGGTTGTAAATAATGTAGTTTTCCCTACCTTTGTCAGAGAATGTTTTCAAAAGAGTATCCATTTTCTTTCACCAGCATGGTTTCTGGGACATCACTGGCTTTTAGGAGACTCACCCTGCATAAGTCTTTACTGAGTCAGTTCTTGCAGAGCGCTTGTCTCCATCTGGTGAATGTGGTTTGGTTTTTTGAAGATCATCATGGAAGGACCTGCCCAGGATCTGCTTACTAGTCACTTAATTCAAGAATATGGAGTTTAGTGGGTCCTGCAGTCATTCTGTGGCTGCATATGACTGTTCATTTAAAGATAATGCTACATCACTCAGTTCTCCTCCACGGCCCACTTTTGTTGGTTAGCTGAAACTTGTTTTTTCTTACACAGCAGATGAAATGAGTATAATGAAACTTTAATAACTCATTCTCTGAGGATTAATGAGCCAGATAGTGAAACATCCATTTCAGATAGTTTTTTTAAGTGAAAGATACTTTAAGTGGGAGATGTCATTCTCTTAAAGGCTTTTTTTTTTTTTTGTGCTTGTTTCTGCAAATCAGCTATTTTTTCTGGTCTGATTCATTTGGAGTAGCTGTATCTGTGGTAAATCAAGCAAAATTTAACTATCATTTTGCAGTTATAATATGTTTTAACTGAATACTGCTAATAACCATTATTAATCTATATAAACATGTCATTTAGTTTCTGGCTATTTTGCTTAGTTTGTTACTAGTGCATATGTTGAAAGAAAAGTTAGACCACTCAAAGAAACCTTGAACTGCAGCAAAATGTTATAAACTTGATTGAACATAACTTTTTTCTATCAAAGGTGCTGATCTGGGAATTATATTACTAATGATCTCAGTTTCTTTAGAATATTATTGAATTTGGGGTAATTATTTATAAATGTTACCAAAATTTATTCTGCCCTCTAAAGTGGAAGAGAAATTTTATGATTTATCAGAACTTAGAGACATTGATTTGCATAGGACTAAGATGTTTCAAATAGGATGAAGATTATTGAAAGCTTTTTCCTTCTAAGAGTGCAGTGAATATAAAGAGAATTTTTTGAAGCATCATGTCATCTCCAGCTGTAGTTATACTTTTTATAAAAAATACTCTGTCTCTCACACAAGGATCAGAGAAGCCCTTAGTCCTATCTACATTCTTGCTAGGAGCCTTATCAGGAGAGTTTGGAATTCTGTAGTCAACAGAAAGGAGGCTAATCTCTTCTCCTAACCTGTAAGTGGGCTTAGAAACCAGTAAGACTGCAAATGACTATGGGAAACACTAATCAGAAGTACCTCATCTCTGGTTTTAGAATCTTAGAGACAAACCAAACTCGAGCTAATTTTTAACAGTCTTCAAACATGCAATGCTCTTTTGATGTAGCTCTCTGCTGTGCATTTTTGTGTATCAACCTTGTATTTCCAATTTTTATATATTGGAAATACATAAAGACTAGTCTTTGCATAAATATGTACTAAAAATTTATAATGTATTATATGTTAAAGATTTAAATTCAGCTTTTAAAACACTTGACATTTTTCTTCTCTTTCACAAAAATTTAGTCATTGAAGGAAAACCTTGCAAAGTGTCACACCCTTACTGAAGCAGAGAAGATGTCCTTTGAAACTCAGAAAAAGAACCTTGATACAGAAAACCAGTATTTAAGAATATCTCTGGAGAAGGAAGAAAAAGCATTGTCTTTACTACAGGAAGAGTTAAGGAAACTAAGAGAACAGATTAGAATATTGGAAGATAAAGGGACAAGTACTGAATTAGTTACAGAAAATCAGAAACTTAAGCAGCATTTGAAAGAGGAAAAGCAGAAAGCACATAGCTTTCTTAATCAAAGGGAGACTCTATTGGCAGAAGCAAAGATGCTAAGGAGGGAACTGGAGAGAGAACGACTAAAAACCATGGCTTTAAGGGTAGAACTTCAGCAGTTCAGCTCTAGGCAGTTAGCTGGCAATCCAGACTCTCCCGATGTATTGACTGAAAAGAAGGAAGTAGAAATCTTACGGGAAAGACTCACTGAGCTGGAGCGGAAGTTAAACTTTGAACAACAGCGTTCTGATTTATGGGAAAGACTGTATATTGAAGCAAAAGATCAAAATGGAAAACAAGAAACTGATGGAAAAAAGAAAGGGAGCAGAGGAAACCACAGGGCTAAAAATAAGTCAAAGGAAACATTTTTAGGTTCAGTTAAGGAAACGTTTGATGCCATGAAGAATTCTACCAAGGAGTTTGTGAGGCATCATAAAGAAAAAATTAAGCAGGCTAAAGAAGCTGTGAAAGAAAATCTGAAAAAATTCTCAGATTCAGTTAAATCCACTTTCAGACATTTCAAAGATACCACCAAGAATATCTTTGATGAAAAGGGCAATAAAAGATACAGTGCTACAAAAGAAGGAGCAGCTAAGAAACCAACAGTTTTTAATGAATACTTATATTCACAGCATAAGGCACGTACACAAAACCAGAATAATAGAGGCCCTACCATGCAAAAAGAGGGAAGGAAAGGAAAGCCAATTCACTTTGAAGAATTTGGAAGAAATACAAATTCACAGAAATGCAGTGCTGAACATGGCTGTAGCGAAAATTACAATTCTTTCAGAAAGGCTTGTTCTGGTGTATTTGAATGTGCTCAACAAGAATCCATTAACCTATTTAATATGAAAGTGTTGAATCCTGTAAGGATAGATGAATTTAGACAGTTAATTGAAAGGTACTTAGTAGAAAAATTGGATAGTTTCCATCATTGGAAAGAACTCGATCAATTCATCAATAAGTTTTTCATACATGGTATCTTTATACATGATCAGAAGCTCTTCACTGACTTCGTTAATGATGTTAAAGATTACCTTAAAGACATCAAGGAATATCAAGTAGATAATGATGAAGTGTTTGAGAAGTTGGATGAATATATATATAGACACTTCTTTGGTCACACTTTTTCCCCTCCATATGGACCCAGGTCGGTTTACATATCACCATGTTATAATAGTTTTTAACATTTATAGATTGGATAGCATTTTATCATTTGATAAGTTGCTTGGAATGTTACTATGTGTAAAGAACCCTTTGTAAAAAAAAAAAAAAAAGGACTATTTGTAAATGTACTTCATTACCAGAGAATTTAGAATAAATTAAATTTAAACATGATTTCAAGTTAAGAGATACTACAAATTAAAAATTTTATATAATCAGTTTGACTTGAGCAAATAGGTTAGTTTAATTTCTACCTGAAGTATCAGTTAAAGGTATATAAATCTTAATTTTAGCTTATTTGGTTTTTGTAAGATTATTTTCCTTTAATCTTTTATTTGCTTATTTTTGGGAAGCTAGGCACGAGCAATGCAAATTCAGTTCTGAAATCAGAAGAGTGCAGTAACAGTGTGGATGCTCCACTTTTCATTTGTCGATTCCATTTACTAAATTAGGATATTTAGTACATTTATCACAGAATTATTGTTGGTAAAGGTAGAGACATGATCAAAGAGGCAAACTTGGGAAGCCAGAAGTTTTAATGTGTGTGCTTTTAAATAACTACTAAAATTAACGATATCTATTACAGTTTTATATTCTGTAACATGAAACTTCACTAACCTTCAAATGTTAGCTTTTTTTTTACATTTGAATAGGTATCTTTTTGAATAAACGTAATGTGTCTATAAAATAATGAGACTGGTACTGGTGAATTTAGTCATTAAATTAGTGTCTAGTATTTACAATGAGCAAAGCACTATGAGGCTGCCCTGAGGAAACATGAAAAATTCTTGCTGAGAAAGAGATCACAAGCTATTGGAGAGTTAGGTAAATTAGTGGAGGTATAGAGACACTGTATGTAGTGGCCTTAGTCTACAGATAATGTGGGAAGGCTTCATGAGTGAGTGGCTTTTCAACTAAACATTTTTAAACTAGCTTTTGAAGGAAAAATGAATTTGTTAAGCAGATAGGGTAGGACATTCCACTCAAAGGGAACTTTGATTTGGAGATCTGAAGACATGCCACTTCAGGGAGGCAAGGTGGTGCTGTGGTATGAATAGAAGAGAATATGTAGCTCATGAATAGCTTCGTTTTGTGCTCAAGGACATGCTTTATCGCATTTTGGATCAGTGGCAGCAGCCTGAAGAATGAGTCATTGGAAAGGGTGGAGCTAAGATGGTCATTAACACTATACAGACATGAAGTGATGAGGATGAGTGGAAAGGGGGAGACAATTGAATAATATACAGAAAGTAAAATTAGTGATATTTCTTGTCAAAGAGAAGTAGAAAGTGACAGTGGTTTCCATATTTCTGGGTTGGGTCATTGGTTGGATAGTGAGATTACTAAGATAAGGAATACCAGAAGGTTTTAGATATGGGGAATTGGAGATGAGAATTGTGCTTAGAGGTACCTATTGACATCTAAATGGAAAGGATTAGTTATGTGACTATATGTAGCCCAGACTGTGTGTGTCATCTAGGCTGGAGCTACTTACCAGACTCTTGGGGAGCACCAACATATAGGGGGTTGTAGGAAAAGGAGGCTGAGAATGGCATCATGAACAACCAAAGATGATCTCAAATAAGAGGAATATATGTGTGTCAAATGCAATAAAAAGGACTGTATTTCTTGGCTTGAGATTTGGGTGGCCATGGATGGCATTATGGACTGTTTGAGTGACACTGTGACAGAAGCCTGATTAGATATAGAGGAAGACAGTGCATGTAGACATTGTTTGTGAAATTTAGCTGTAGGAGAGGAAAAAAGGCTTTGTTTTGTGTGCAAGAGATGTATATACATTTCTGTTTTTTTTCAGGAAAGAAAGAAAAATAATTTTTAAAAATCTCATTATTTTATTGTCACATTTCCCCCCCTATAGGATAAAAGTATAATATTGAATCTGGCATGGTTACACTATGATTATACTTCAGATTAATTTAACATTTCAGAGTGTTCAGATAATAGATTAATGGAGAAAAACATTGAAATTGTTCCTTGTTTAAATAGATTTAACTCTAACCTAGATGAAAAATGTGTTTACTGCTTTCAGTCGACCAGATAAAAAGCAACGTACGGTAAATATTGAAAACTCCAGGCATCGAAAACAAGAGCAGAAGCACTCTCAGCCACAAGCTTATAAGAGGGAAGGTAAATGGCATAAATATGATCGCACTAATGGAAGACACATGGCAAATGTCGAAATAGAATTGGGGCAATTACCTTTTGACCCTAAATATTGACCACTGTGATTAAGTTAAATTAGAAAACTAACACATGTGGATGCTTTCTACAGTGTTTGGTGTTGAAACTAGGATGAGAGCATCAAGATAACAATGTCTTTCTACCATTTCTAAGTATCAGTTTGATGACTATTATTACTCAGAAGCATCAAACAAAAGCTTACTAACCTGCTGTTTAGCTTTGCTGAATATTTTTCAGCACTGGAAATGTTCAACTGTAGTTCTGTTAAAGAAACCAGGCACACAACAGATTTTGTGCATGAAATGAGACTTCCTTTCAGTGTATGAGTTTAAAACAAGCCCAAATCATACATGACAAAGTGTAATTAACACTGATATTTGTGTTAAATTTGCAGTAGAGCTTGATAAGAGTACATTGTGATGGAATTTCTTTAACATTTTGTAATCTTACTCTTGCTTCTTGTCTCTTCGTGGGTTCAAGAGCCCGTTGACTTGTGAAGAATTTGCTGCCTTCTTATGAGCTTGCTGACTTGTTCTCTTGTGAAATTTCTTGCACATCTGAATATTGTGGAAGAAACAATAAAACTACAACATGAGGAAAACTAAAGGTCTTTATTTTAAAATCTGGCATTGTATTAATATACGGTTTTCTACTTTGTGATATTTTTCATACATTTCCTCAGTAGTACTATTTGGTAAAGAAGTTCATAGGTTTTTGCAAGTTCCATGAAATCTCACCCAGTGTTTGTTAGTGTAGGTAGGCAACATCTGAGTATTTCTACCCAGCAGTGTCTATTTCCCTGGGAAGGATCTCAGCACAGTTCAGAATTTCATCTTCTCTGGAGTTTCCCTTTTAACTTCCGTTCATAGACATATACGTGACTTCCAGTTCGACCTTCTGGCAAGTGAGTGTGGAAGAAAACAGCAGTTCTCTCATAGTTTCTTGAAATTAGGAAAGCACTTATTTCCTAGAAGTAAATATTTAAGTAAATAAAGGCTACATTTTGATGAGTACTGGTTTTAGAATTTTAGAATGACCCTTTGATTTGTGCCTCTATGTTTTTCTTAATAAAAAATGCAGTTCTTTAAATTGACTTGTGGCAAGTTACATAGATAGATACATATAGATAGTGATACACATAGAAATGCTGATTTTTGTCTGGGGAAAAGACCAGCTACCAACTGTATGGGTTAAAGAAAACCATAAATATGTTGTCTGTTTTCCTGAGTGTTTACTAAATCTAAGGTGAAACTGTTTTTCCCTTTTTTCATGTTTCCTTACCTCTTCCAAAATGCTGAAGATGATCAAGTAAGTAGGCAATGTTGAATTGTTGTGAAACTCTTCATACAACCAGCTTAAGGGATTTTGGTAAAATAGATCTGCTTCATCAAGATACTGACTTTTTCCAGTCAGGTCTGGGGGACATTGGAGAAATCTCATTGGAAGTGGGTAATGAACATGGCTATGAAAAGAAAGTTACCATTATAGTTACAAGAAGTTTTTTAAAAAGTGAAAGTTTTCAAATTACTCTTAAGATATATAATGTTTACATAACAGAATGTGAAATCCGAATGTAAATTGGGTTCTAGTTTAGGTGAAGAGGCAAGCCTGTAATGTAGTTTTCTCAAAGATGTATGATCCTTACACCATGAACCTGTGCAGCAGCAGCATAACCTTTATTTAAGTAGATTCAGTGATAGTAACAGATGTTCACTGGTTAAAGTCCAAATAAGTAATGGTTCTAGTGTATGGAAGGACTATAGCATATATAAAAAAGATGGATTGATAAGTCATGATAAATTAATGCGAGTTACTTGGACCAGGCAAAAAGCCTTGTTTATAACTTTGCCTCAGGAAAACTTAATAAAAATAAATACATGATAGAAGTTTAGTTTTATCTTTGAAGTGCACACAAAGTAAATTTACACAAGACCTAATACTTTATGACTTTTGTAATTTTGGAAATAAGGGGAAAACAGAAACAGCTGGCACCTTGTGTTCTAAAACAGACATCACACTTCTTTGCTGCATTGTGTACTTTGAAAAAAACCAAAGATGAGAACTTGGCAAACTATACAAAAGCTTGAGATGTCAAGCACTGCTACCATGTATGGAAAGCAACTTGGTACCTGTAGAATTTCTGTTCTCTGCAGTGTTACCATTAATGTGAGTGTGGAGGGACAGTAAATGTGCCTCTTTCAGCTCTAGTTTCTTTTTAGACAGTAGGGGAAGCTGAAGTTAAAGGGACACTTGGGGTTTCACATCTAACCTGTGACTTTTGTGCTAGGTGATTCTAATTTTCCAAAGTGTGTATTAATGGTTGTCATTAATGGCTGACATAAAGAGCATTCAAAGAAATGTTAAATTATCTTGAAAAGATAACTTTGTACAATTGAATGTGCACGTGCAAAATTAAGACTGTTTAAAGCCAGATTAATAGGTGTAAAATTTTCTGCATAAAAACTGTTTGCCCTCATACTGATATTAGGCAGTTGATAACTAATACACCTTCCTGACAAGCATAGGGCCTAATGGATGTCTTTAAATGCCCTGTATAGTTAAGACAATTTTACTGTTTTATTCCCAGAAACACTAACTCAAGTATTACGATACCATCTAATTGAGTTCCCTAATTTTCAAATGTGAGACAACTGATATCCAAAAAGATTAAAAAGACTGGTTAAAGACCAGTGCGATTGTCAGCAGTAAATCTAGACTAGAAGCCAGTGTTTTGAGATTAATTAAAAACTGTAATACATGTAAGATGTACGTATCACAGAAATTTGTAGTAAGATCAGTGGTAATTTCTTTACCAAGAAATTAAGCCCTTGCCGATGTGGCCTAATTGGTTGGACATAGTTCTATAAGCTGAAAGGTTGTGGGTTTGATTCCTGGCCAGGGCACTTGCCTAGGTGATCAATATTTCTTTCTCCCTCTCTTCTCTTCTCTCTAAAATCAGTAAGTATGTCTTTGGGTAAGGATAAAAAAGTACCCAAAACCATCAAATAACCTATTAGGTATACATTTAAATCAAACCAATTAAATCTAAATTGTTTAAAAGATTTGAAAAGGATATTGAGGTTAAAAGTGGTATGTGACTTTCATCAACATAGTTCAAACGGTTTTTAAAATTTATCTGAATAAATGTGGAGTTTCAAATTTTTTATTATCATTGATCAGTGGTCCATTAATTTAAATCTAAGAATCTGAAAGTAATTTAAAAGTAGTTTCATTTTCTTAACAATAGCATAAGGTAGAACTACGTTTATTACCTATAAAAAGGAGTAGAGTGGCAAGGCATCATTACAAAGACCGAAGCTGCAGATCCACTGGGGTTGTTATAACAGAGTTCTTGAACATGAGTCATAACATCCAAAGTACCTCGTTGATGAACTAAACCGGTATAGAGCGCAAGGAGCATATTTGATAAAAACAGGAAACTTAGAGCTGTTTTTTTCCACGTTTTCAGGTGATTTAGTGAATACCCTGTACAAAAATAGACATATGTTTAATCATAACACTGACAATCTTGTTTTCTTATAACTAAGCAGTTCACTATAAATACATTTATAGTATTTCATGGAATTAGCACAGCTGTACTGCTGTCATAAACAAGATATAATCAGTAGGTTGTTCTGACCATACACTGTCATTGTCTTATTGTCGTTTGGGTCTTGACCGTTTTATAGGAAAAGGAATAGAAGTATAATGGAAAGGTTATGGCCGGGGAGTCCAGCAGACCCAGGTTTGAATTCTTGCTCTGGCACAAGTTGCTTTACTTTGCTGAGCATTAGTTTCCCCAGCTGCAAATGGGGTAACAGTACTTTTTTTTCAAGTATTAGTATAAAAGGTGTGTGTCATGTGCCTGCCTGCTACACAGTAGTTGCTAAATAAATAGGACTTTTATTTATTCCATTACCTCTCTTCTCTTTAATATCTGAAGCAGTAGCAGTGGATTGTGTACACAGAAGTTCCAATAATTCTGGAGGAAGTACAGTAGAATGTCCTTTAAGAAAAATATATCACTAGGCTCCTAGGAGATTTTCAGTGTTCATTATGAGTGGTGGCATGGATCTCTCTGGAAGAAGAGGAGCTAATTTTTTTTTTCCACCCCTCTCACTATAATGCTGAACAATTTGGAGATGCTGAACAATTTTCCTTTTTTAATGTGGTAGAAGTTTGTTCCCCTTCTACAGTCCTACTCTCTAGCAATAGCCACTGATGATGTGCACATGAGGATCTGTTGAAAATGCCTTCAAAGAGAACAGGCCTTCTCAGTGGAAAAGAAGGAGCCTATTAGTAAACTTTCTTGACATTCAATTTTATGCTCAACACACACTGTCTTCACAGAAGTAGATAATAGTTACTTTAGAATTTGGGTGTCAGGATCCAGTCTTTGGCCTGCCTGAAATTTTAGCCCTCATTCCCATTGGGGCAAGGCACTGTTTTCCATGACCATCACCTAATTGACTATTATCAACTATCTTAGCTTGGCTCAATCACTAAAAAATAACTGAACGTGAGTAAAATTAACTTTGAACTGTTTCCATTTAAACTACACTAACAGAGTTGGCTTAAGGAAGAATTGTAATAATCAAATTTGGGCAAGAAATCTTACATGTTTGATTCTGTTCCTCTATGAATGTTTTTAGATAAAGTTACCTACAGTTCATTACATTCAGTAGTTTATCACACGTCCATTTTGCTTAGTACTGCTAGAAACTGCTTTGATGAACCAAAGAATGTTTTGAAAAGCAGTGTGATAAATATAGCCAAATCAAGAAACCCAAACCTACCTTTAAACTTAAACTGAAATCTGTAAGGTTTTTCAAATGGTAAAATGAACCTACTAAGGAAGATGAGAACTAGAATTAGCTTTCTTAGAACTGAAATAGGATTCCAAGTTCTACCTGCAATAATTTCAGCTACAGATACAACAGACCAGCAAAATACAACTTGAAAGTGAAGTGCTTAGGTTGACAGGCAAAAACAGTCTTCCCAGTGGGTTCAAATTACAAAAGGTACATTAAAGCCTACTCTGGCAAGTCCCTACCTCTCAGGAATGTTTAAATAAGTATACCATGGGCCTCTAATGTGGTTCCCTCATTAGCAATTTTTTCATTGACTAAGCGTTCATTTAAAGCATTATCAGAAACTATGACATTAGAGATACAGTAGTATGGGTGACATACAAAATGAAATACAAAGTGGTGAATGTAAAAATGGTATTCTGCATCGAATGCAGGAAGATACTGTGTTTGTACTCCTAGCTTCAATACTGAAGGTCTTTTAAGTTAGGTAGTGCTTATGTTGGTTCACTTCTGAAGCTAGCTCACTTTAGAATGATGTATCCTTTCAGTGAGAAATGAATCTCCATATTTGAAGAAATTAAGAAAAATTTTGTGAAGAAAAGGAACAGTTAAATCTTGAATTTGAGGGTTTTCAAACCATCTAACACTGAAAAGTTTCTCGGGGTGCTTTAGAAAGTGGAGTTGCTAAAGGGAGAGTTAAAAGAACAGCTTCAATGCTAGACTGATTTACAAGAGAAGCCCAGAATCCACAGTTTCCTTACAGGGAAACAGTATGGTTTCTCTAATATTTAAAAG